GAAGAAGAGGAAGTAGAAAAAGAAGAAGAACAAGAAGAAGAAGAAGAAGAACAAGAAGAAGAAGAAGAAGAAGAAGAAGAACAAGAAGAAGAACAAGAAAAAAAAGAATAATCATGATGGTATTCTCTAACTTTCCCTTCCGTCTCTCACTGAGCGACCATTTGTCCATTTTCTACTGTATATTGATGCGCTGAACACGAATATCAACTTCATTTCCCTCGCAGATTAATATTTTTCAATAAAAAATATTGTATTATGCTTTTTAAACATGCATGACCTCTCAAAAGTAGTTAAAATTTAGATACAAAATACTTTTTGGCACCAAATGAAAGGACTCAGGTTACTTTTGTGTCAATTCCAAAAATTTCCTTACGTTTGATGCCGCCGAAAGTTTGATCTAATAATGGAACGCTATGCTTGAGAGGGTGTGTGTTTTTTTTTAAAGGGTTTTGACATATACATAATGTACCATAATACGCTTTTAAACAGTTAAAATTTCAACATAAACGAAAGTAAGGTGTGAAAAATGAAGTTTACTGCATTTAAACACGATATCAAAGCACACAATGTGTATTTGTCGTGAAAAAAACCCCCAACATTTGCTGCAACAACAACAACAAAAAAGCGTATTTTAAAACAAGTATTCCTACAGCAGAGACCTTTCCCCTAAAATGTTCCGCTTTACCGAGTGCCCTCCTGTCTTGCTTTTTGCTTTAGTTTTATTTCAAAGCTTCTTCTGGCATTCCTCCTCTTCTGTTTTCAGCGGTGTTTTGAATTATTCGTTTATATTTTAACGTGTCTCTGTCTGTTTAGATAAGGTTTTCCCTCCGTCTGTCTATCTTTGTGACCTGTTGTACCGTGGAGTTTGCTACTCTACAAACCAAAGTGCTCTTTACAGATAATAATAAGAGGCTGTATCTCAAAAACCTCTAGACACTGATTGTAACAGCTGTAGCAGAGCCTTGCCTGCCCGCAGTGCTCGAATGATGGCAAGCTTAAAGTTTTGCCGGGCTTTTTCTTCTAGAGAACGCTTAGAATGAATGCTCCCACAGCATTCAGTCAGTACTTTGAAGGCTATGAGCCTGTTTGAAAGTATTTTTTCTTGATCAATAAATATACGTGAGGCAGCATGGTGCAATCACGCTCTCGTCAAAATAATCAAATTGAAGAAACCTGCATTTTTCTGCAGGTTTGTGATTTTTTTTATCAAATTGTTGGGTTGTTTTTTTTGGCTCAACAGCTTTCATGCCCATGAAATTAACTCATTTCTGTGTGGATTTTTTTGAAAAACGCTGTTTAAAGGCACAAAAAATTTGAAATTTTCAGTTACCACGGACTCTTCAGCTAAGGAAATAACCAATTTTTGGCGGCCATTTTCTCACAAATTTTTCCTCTGAAAATAGGCGACCCCCACCTCCTCCATCTTGTATTCAAGATAAACGGACATTTTTTCATCCAAATAAAGACAAGTGAACAAGCTTTAAGATGGTACCAATAATTCTGCATGCCCAAAAATTGACGAGAGCCTGATTCCACCACGCTGCATCACATACCAAATATATGGCAAACATCCCCACTTTCTGATGTTCAACGAGCCCAAATAGATGCTCTTCGTGAGATTTCATTCCAAGGATAAAATGGTTTGGCCACCTATTACGCATGTCACCGGACCAGCCAGCCTCGAGAGCCTACAACACTAAGCACTCAGGCTATAAAGGAAGAGGAAGGCCACGCAAAATGTGGATCGAGGGTGTCAAGGAAACCCTAAGAAAACATAACATCACAACTGAGGAAAGAGCTGCGGAGCTGGCCTACCATAGAAAACTGCATCACCCCTCGACGCTTAACGGCAACAGAGGAAGAAAAAGTTAAAGTAAGTAAGTAAGTAACCGTAGGAAAGTGATCCTTGGCCTTCTGGCTTGAGACATCGCCCCATCTTTTCTCAACAGTTTCCTTCTTCACAACTCCGTGGACTTGATCCTGGGCTTGTTTTTCTCCCCGATGTCTTCTCTACGGGAACACAACGCTGCTGTTGAGAGCTTGGTCAGGTGGCACAACCCATCTTTCTACCTCTCTGACTAATTCCGCATCCGATCCGGACATTGGGGATATTGCCTTTTTAGCGAGACAACTTCCTGGGCCTTCGCATATTGTGGTAGGGTGGCCAGTTCCTTTCCACGCCGCTTATACTTCCCCAACTCGAAGTCAAGTACCCATTGGGCCATTACTACTGGGTAGGCAGGAGGGGGCGAAAAAAAAATCCGTGTCCAACCCGAGGCTCGAACCCGGACTTTCCGGAACCCGGACTTTCAGCTTCGGAAACGAGCTCACTAACCGCTCCACCACCGCACCCGGAAGCTACTAACAGACCAAAACAATGCATGTCTCCTTGAGGACTCAAAGGGACCAACAGTGGAATTATTAAGAATTTGGTTTAGTTAATTGTTTACGGCACTTGCAATATGATACGATCAAATAAGTGCCGGAGATTTGAGGCCTT